ATTTACCTTTGTGACGCTTTTATGGAAATAAGTACATTATGACTCGAATAAATGTGAACATACGTGTGTAAATTACTATGAGATTTAAGCCTCACGAGAATATGCTGCTTTGTTTTTGTAATGAATTCGCCCGATTGGACTTCAACGTTCCAATCACATTTTGTCATAGGTCATATACACACACAACGCAAATGATTTCATTAGATTTTTCGGCTTAACTTTACTTTACAGAACTTTTTGGAATATGAATATTTTTTTGATTTTCTTTTGATTTATATCATTTCTAGGGTGCGATTTGCAATTTTATGATTTACCGTTATTTTTTGACAGGTGTTATTTCTCTGTTCGTTGAGAGAGAGAGAGAGAGAGAGAGAGAGAGAGAGGGACAGAGCTGTGCAAAGGCCACATTACAGTAGTGAACGCAATATCTGTCTATTTATAACTTTGTACTTTGTGTCCGCAAAACAAAGCCAACGGAACCATTGTAAACGAGAGAGCATTAACCTAAAAAAAGTAATTATTAAATTTGGTGCCTCTGTTTCACCTCAAGTCACAATGTCTGTGGAAATGTTCGTTTGTTGCAAGCATCATTGTATTGCAACGAATGAAGTCAATGTTAGCATGATGTTTAATGTGATTCAATTATTTTATATTACATTTTCGGTGTGTAACACTACCACAGGCTGTGCAACAATGAAAAAGACATTCAACAACTCCGGCACATTCTGTCGGTAAACTTCCGTCCCTCAGAAAATGTTGTTAATTTCAATTTAAACACAAGATTAATCCATGTGTTGTTTTCGTAGCCAAAGGCAAAACGAAAAGTTTTTTTTTCTGAAAATTGTTAGTAAATTATTCAATTAGATGATATTGTTGGACCATTTCATGGAAGGCATGAATCTCCGACCGCTCAAAACACTTTATCATACACACGAAGCGAAAACCCCTCTAAAGCGAATCGCCAGCAAAAATTTAATCAACAAATGGTCTGTTCGGTATGATTAATGGCACGCACGATTTATGATGCATCCATCAAATAATGGAATATTCCACCCCCTCGATTTGCCCATAATCGAAAAACTTATATATATATATATATATATATATATATATATATATATATATATATAGTTTTGTTAAATAAATATGGAACTAAATTTATCTTCGGAATGTTTGCGACAAACCGTCCGGATAAACACAAAAAACGGCCACCTATATCAAAAGACATTTGTATTAATAAATTAATTCGGAGAACATGGTATTAATCCGTGCACAACGTCCTCGCTCACACAATTCGCCGAGATTGATGGAACAGAGAGAGGCACGATTTCGACAAGAGTGAAAAAGACGACCAAAACAAACGATAAACATAATTTGTGCTCCGTCTGCGTAGTGGCCAGCAGACAACTTGATACTTAAATGGAAAAAAATCTGTCTCGGTTGACCACTGGCGTTGAACTAAACTTGACATAGATTCCGTGCGAAATTGTAACAGAGCCGAACAAACAACCGCACGACATATCAATTTTCGGCGCAAAAACTGCCGAGGCATACATCCATTAAGCGCTTTTCATATATCGCGTGTGAACTTCATAAATCTATATGAACGCCATGTCATGGCTCACCATCACCATTTCCAACGAATCGACAATCTGTGTGCGGTTATTCCAGTTATTTGTCACTATTTCTATTTTCCACAAAGATAATAAAGAAAAAGGATGAAGTAAACATATGATAAACAATCGAATATCCGATCTTTGACCGATGCGCACAATTTCAATCTATTTATGTGCAAGCAGATGGATATTTCAAGAATATTCTATCGTTCGATTAAGTACACTTCAATTCAAATCGTTCGTCGCTACTTCAATTTAAGTATATCATCGGAACACCAAATCGATAAAACCCATTTGACATGTTCTTTCCTTCATTTTCCCTTTATAATCATCACACAAAGTTTTCCACCAAAGGTAATTAAGTAAATATAGCCAACGGTATGATTTTAATAGACTGAACCGTAGGAGAATATTGATTGCTTTTGTTAGCCTTTTTCATTCTCGCAAATCATTTAATGGCATTATTATATGGAGGTATATATAGAGTTTTTGCTGCCGGAGATTTTGCTAATTATTGTTTTGTCGAGTTTTTTTATTTTGTGTTTCCAACCCCATTGTACGGTGCCTTCCTTTGCTCTGTGCCATTGTTCAATGCCAAGAAACACAAATGGAAAAGCGTGGTGCTATATGGTTTGACTATATCGAAAAAAAGAATCCAAACGGATATGCTCAAATGGCGAATGAACACAATGAAAACCATGAATAACAATTATATACATACCACACAATGAACGCCTAGCTTCAGTCTCTATTACCGGTCAAAGTGTGTATATCGCAATCCGTTTGCCTTAAATCGAACGACAAATGCGTTTATCGATTTGGCTTTGGGCACGCCAAGGAAATGATTTTCTTGTCTTTCTCTTCCTTTCCCTTCCACTCTGTTCCTCTTGTTCCTTTATTTTGTGGTGGTCGCAAATCGAATAATGTGTCTTTGAATACGGCTTTGGATATTTCGACCATTAGATGAAGTATTATCCTAATACTATTGACATGTTCATTCGGGTTCACTGCATAGATTTGCCGTTGTGCCTATTTATGGCTTTGGTAAAATGCTGCTTAAGGCGAAAATATGTGTATAAGTGTGCTATTTTATACAATGTCAACGAAACTCGATATGATTTAGTAAAATATATACGGAATCGGACACAACAATCTATGCGTATTTATGATTCATGCCCAACTTTGCTTTTGATTCATGATAAGAAATCAACGACATATTCGATTGAATAGCAACAATTACGAGCATGATGGCACGTGATGAATAAGTGCACATTTTGGCTGTTTCACACGTATTGCGTGTTCTGTACGTTCGACACCATGATATACATATTACCAAGACAAATAACCGAGTATATAATTGAATTGTGCTACAGATAGCAAATAATAGCGTCGAAAATGATGTAGATCTGAATCGATTGTCCTTCCATTTGCCTTGAACTTGTGCAATCCCTGTGATCGCATCGCAATTGAATCGAATTGTTTCAGTTCGTCTCAGTTTACATTGCATTTTCCAATGAATTTGGACAAACTGGACATTCTCCCCTTTCGATGCAGAGACGATTGAAATGCATGGACTGTTATTCAATTTCACAGCTCCTTCGAACAAACCCACAAAACATTCAACGTTTCAAATTCGACAACAACGAATCAAGTGTGGCAACGGTATATCGATGCTATTCACACCGCAATGATTGTGTTTTTTTTCATCACTCTCCTGGTTTCGAGTCAAAACATTTGACTTGAAGAGTATTGAACGGTATTTAAAATCCAATTTCATTGAGTTGGCGTTAAGTTGTTTTTGATGAATGGTCGCAGCGATTTCTTTTTTTTTGCTCTCGTTTTATTGGCCATATCCATTGCTGTCTGAAAAATATATGTTTATTTTTAGGATAGGTACTCTCTATGGATGGTCTCCGTACTGTGTCCTTGCGACGCAAATGCGATTCAATCATTAAAATGACAACCTTATCTCTACACACATTTTTTTTCATTTTTTTTTTTTAAATAACAGTGTACATGAGTTTGACAAATAAGTACGCAGCACAGGCCACCTCATCTATGTTTGACACACCCATTTTATATAAATATCGAATTGAATTTTAATGGTAAATTAAAAACCATGCTTGACATATTTTATGTGAATACTATGCGAGATAATTGAATAAGGTAATTTGCTTCAATGAAGAGTAAAAACAATGATAAATTTACCGGTTTAGTGCTCTAAACCGCATCAAACGTATACTAAATGGTTTTAACATTGGGCAATGATTTGACTAATTTACACGAGCAAAATATTCTGGTAAATTTACAGCATCAAAGGAATATCCATTAAATGGAAGGATGGTTTTGTGGCGTAGTAAAACGGTAGAAATACCAAAATTATATTTGATTATAATGGAAAATAGTCGAATAAATTCTATAAAACCGGAAACAAAGTGTTGTCGTGTATAGTTGCATTATTGCACGAGATACCACAAATTTTCAGTTCTTTGATGGGCCCGTGTTCCGTAATAATCAAACCATTGAATTTATTGTCCCTCCGGAATATCGCGCTGACGTCAAACGACAAATATTTCCAGCGAAATTGTACCATGTTTATTATTGGACTGGAAGAGAAAACAAATTAAGTGAATTTAATGAAGAGTCAGGCAAAATGTAACACACGTCAAAATAATTTTCAAATGTTTAGTGGAACTGGATCTGTACAAATATTTATGCATTCCTGTGATGCTGCGTCGCTGGCATAATGGCAAATTTCCCGTGGCACAATTAAAAAAAACACTGTTCAATGCTCTCTCCTTCTGTGTGTTAAACATCGTTCGTGACGTTCGAAAATCATCCAAAGCCTCCGGGTACGGCTGACAAAATGTTTGACAGTAATTATGTTACTATATTGCTGACGCTGACGCAACACTAGCTAAAAATATTCCGGGAAATGGATTCACAAGCCAGCCACTCAGTCAATAGTATAATAGTGTGTAATGAGCTAAAAATGTTTCTCTTTCCATCGACATTTGCATTTCAAAATTGTCATTTATGCTGAACAAACCGATGGCCAACCAAACGAACGGAACAAAACAAAAACAAACAATTTTCGTTCAATGCGAGAATCAACGGCCATAAAAAACATTTGTCATTAAAAACACATTTGAATCGAATGCATAATTTTGAATGGCAAACATGGAATCGGTGCTGCGTGTATTCAAATCATTTTCATACATATTTGCACGCTCTCAATATACATTTCATATTCTCTGCCAGATTTAAATTATACAGGTTTTTTTTTCGCTGAGCTCGTGAGTCAGATGTAATGTTTTGGTTATTATATAATCAAGCGAATCCTCATCGATATTTCAACCAATCGCTAATTAAGTGACCCAGTTCTTTTTAACATACACTTTGCGTGCTTGGAATTTATTGATTGAAAAAAAAAAAATATTCGAAACAATGCAACTTTGGAATAATCGACATTGCTTTTTTACATCAATCTACCATTTTGAAAAGAATAAAAAAAGACGCTAATTGCTCGGAAAAAAGATTGATTTAAAACGTGATATAAATACAATTAGAATAATCAATTTTCAATATAAATTTAACATAAATTTTTTCCATTTTTTTTTCGTTTTTCAAATCAATCCACGAACACCTGATGTTTTATAAATAAATAAATAATGAATGAATGTAGGTGCAAACGTTCCGTACATACAGAACGCAATTGAATCGCAAATAATGATAAAATTGATTGCAAATGTATAAATGAAAATACAAAATAACATGACACTTAATTCTGCTCGAATGTGAATGTAACGACGCATTCGTTGCGTAGACTGTTGTTTTTCACGAAGTATTTGGAATCTGTTTTTAGGCGGGGAAAATCAATATTAGAATTTGATCGAAATGTGTGAGTTTTTAGGCGAATTTTTAAAATAATCTCCTTACTTGGAATGAGTTTGATGATGTTGTTTTCGGTAATCGTCCATTTGCGTGGGCCACACTTCACCTTCATCTGACCTTTGATCACTTTGCACGTCTGCAACAAAAATGAGCATGAAACAAATTCCATCCCAAGCGAATAAATCAATTGTGTGTATCGATAACATATTGCACGGAAAGAATTCGAACAATGGAAATTAGTTTCAAAGAAACGAAAGAGAAGAGAGAAAAAAAGAACTTACAATAGGCCGATCGCACGTCGAGAACGCGTGCTTGTGATGACCGGCATAAAATCGCATTTCCCCCAATGTCAATGATTTCAGCCGGCATTCGTAGTTTAGGCTGGAAAACAGCAACGGATTGTTGTTATCATCGTTGCCGATGCTATCAGTCTGTGTGGATCTTGGTGTGGATGAGTTCATCATATCATTCTGCAAAACAACCCGAACAAAAAATCCCATCACGAATATGACTTTTGCTCATATCAAAAACTTGGACGGCACAATTTCCAACATCGATGGCACAACACAAATAATATACTTACGAAAAAACTCTCTGGAACCGTGTTGACTGGACCCAGAAATGTGTTTTCCAACGATACATTGTATTTCGTCTTCATTTCTACTTCGTTTTATTTGATTCTTTTTTTTTTCGTTTACAAAAGAACAAATAACAAAAATTAATAAAATACACGATGCAACAAGAGCGAGGGAGAGGCGGAGAGAGTGATAAAAATGTGACAACCAATTCGGAACAAACTACTAATGATTTGACACATGAGCACGGTGTGACACAACAAACTACTAATTGATGGACAGAAAACAGCAATTACATTCTTTGCCGTGCATCGAAACAGCAGCGATGTGCTCACACAGTGTCAAAAACATGACCGAAAGAAAGAGAGCAGAGCGCGACAACCTCTCACAGCCCATTCGTGCACATAACGGTACATGACATTAATTCCGTGAAACGATTTGCTCACGCAAACGAACCAATCGATTTGGCAAATATTGTAATGAAATTGAAATTCGATAAAGTTTTTTATTTGTGTTCTGAAATTAATTGGCCTGGCTGGTTTAATATCTATAATTAGAATCAGCGTCCAATTCCATTTTCGTTTTGACATTACACACAATTTGATGGTTGAATTAATGGGATTTGTGTGTGTTGTGAAAAAAAGTTTTTGTTTCAACAACAACGGATTATTTCCAAATAATTTATGCTTGAACGGATTATTTCAAAAAGAAGTTTAACGTGAGTAACAAATGTTATTTATCATGAAATGCGATCCGGCCGCATCAAAACAATCACAAGCACCGTCATCAAATAACACGGATGCCAGGAAAAACTTTCAAAATAAACATTCAGTATCCGTTTTAGTGTGCCAAAAATATATATATGCAACAATGTGTTCTATTTTGGAGTTGTTGACGTTCGCTTTGCTCAGCTGTCACGGGTAAAACGTACACATCTGTAGAAGAAAAAGAAGAAAAAAACGGCTTGTACTCTGTCGATGTAAGTGAGATTTTGAATTGACTGACAGAACATTGCTTTATGGATTTCAAATATCGCGAGTGAACAAAAAACCATCAAACAAACAAATAAACTGTCATTTTGAATTCTTGTTAGTGCATGTCATTCTCGCATATTTTTTTCTTTTTCATTCCAATTTCAAGTGGGAAGTAACTACCTGCAAATTGCAGGCTGCAACGTGCCTGTGGAAAAACATAGTGTTTGAATTAATCCCACCAAACGGAATCTGTTTCGACAGCAATATCTCCATAATTTCGTTCCAACTGTGTGCATTGTTCGTGTACAACATGTGGTAATCGGCAAAATTGCAAATGATTGTTGTGCTCAATGTTACGGTGTTTTGCCGCACATTAATCCGATTGAATCGTGTGGTGCAATTTCGAACCATACATTTTTTCTTCGCACCTTTTCATTGCCTATTGAATGTGAAATTAAATGGGATATCGTGTGAAGCACCCATATCTCTCAAACATGGATGCGTGCATTGAATTACCCTCCAATTGTGAATTGATTTACAAATAACTCAATCCATTAGCATACTCGACGGTAAAGAAACGCTCAACGGTGGAGTTCAACCACGAATTAATGCTATTGAATAATAATGGATTCGATTCGAAACTATTTTACTTGATGAGGTGGGGTGTCTTTTGAAGACTATATGTACATATGCCATTCGATTTGCTAGCAATCATTTGTAGAATCAATATTTAGACAATGGAATGGAGTATGATGCGCATTGGTATGTGACGCCGACACGAAATTCACTCAATGAAATGCTTGTTCTGACCCATCCATCACGATGGCAAAACAAACACATTCCACGACGATGACGACGGAGAGCAGGAGTAGATTCCAAATATTTTATTCAATTACGTACACACATTATGTTTGGATAAATCCAAAATAAATAAGATTCATTGAGTGAAACAGTCGCTATTTTTACCATTCACATGCGAGAGTGTGCTTTGAATGGAATATTAATGGATTTTCCGGTTCATAGTCGATCGATGTCTCCTTGCGCAAAACGGTCGTCAAAAGAGCACTCCATATTTCGGTGAGTGGTTTCGAATCGAATCAAACCACACAATCCGATTACATTCAAATGAATATTGATTGAAGTCATAGCATTTTGACATTTGCATACACAAACGCAAACTGTTCCTCCGCAAGACGGATGTTTGGCTGGGAATGATTCAACATTTGGCTTGATGAATATGCGTTAGCATTCGATAACTGTTCAAAAATTCAATAACGTTGCGATATTTGATCGGACTCCGGGTAAAATATTCAGTGGGTTTTCGGAGTAAGGTAAACAAGTGACCCCTCGATATATTGATTGATTTTGATGCTTTCCTTGCCTTGCCGCCACCGCCATTGACGTCATTGCCATTTCACAACCGACGTTAACATAATTTTAACCTTGTTCGAAGTTGAATTAGCTTGCAAATCATTTTTTAACCTTTTGGTTTGATCTTTTTGTATCAATGCATTGAAATTGATGAAGAAAACTGTGTATGGCAACTTGATTAGGCGTCGGCAACGAAAACGTCTACATGGAAAATGTGATTCACTTGATAAAGGCGTCTTTCAAGTCGGAAAATATCTCAAAAGGCAAATCTTATTCAATGCAGAAACGTAGTGCGAGACTCGGCCTTGACCAACGTTAATAGGCTGCACTCCATTCTGCGCTTCAATGATTTCATTTCATCTATTTTTTCATGTATGTGGTTTTTGCATGCGGAAAAGTTGTGAGTGCAAAAAATCGGCGAGACGCCTCGACATTGATGTAAACAACGCGTTTTTTTTCTCTCGTTGGCGTTTATTCACAGAGACGGAAACAGTTTCCCCGACGATATCATTGCCATGTGTTCACATCGCTCTAATTAAGTCTATTAACTGGAATTTGTGATGCAAAGCCATTCAAAGCAAGACTCGAATATGTAAATGTATCCCTTTAATCTAGTTGCATCTATAGAAGGGGAAAATTTACCGTGCTTATTTCGAAAAACGGAAGCGTACATGATTTTTCTCTTACGATAATTTTATCAGCACAATACGTGATTTTCTGTGCGCATTGTGACAATAGCGTATGCATGAGCCGTTTTTTAGCACTACATGAAATGTAGGCTACTGTATTTGTTTTTTTTTTCAAGAAAATTTTAGGAGTCTTCAGGCCATTTCTTTGGACCGTAAATTGATTCATTTTAATATCCATATTTTTTATTTGAAATGAAGCAATTACGCCAAATTGCAAAAATGAAATAAAATCATGTTCTTGTAATTCACTTTTGAGATAACTCAAAAAAAATTTACACTTTTTTCGTTACCAATGTGAAATAATGTACGATGACCATTCACATTGAATGTACATAAAACACATAAGTGAAAAATACAATATCATCATATAAATTTATTTAATTATTTTTGACAATATTAAAATGATTTGCATACAAAAAAAACTACATTCCATGTAGTACTTACTTATTATCGTATATATCGTACCTTCTATAGATGAAAAACATCAAATTGATAAAACGAGTTAAATTTACAATCTTCAAGAACGCAGAGCGGAGCGAAGCGACAATCTGCGGTCTTGTTTTATTTCATTTGCGAAGCCTGTAAAAATTGCTCCAATTTTGATCTCAACAAAACGGATATGGATTCATTTTTAATTATTTCTTTTTTGCTGCTCCATATCAACGAGCAATGGGAAAAACGGTAGAATGGAAAATTATTCAGCCGAACAATTAGCACTTAACACACTTGATTCGATAATCGAATACAACAATGAATTCCCTGTGGACTGGGTTTTGTTCGATCCTCATTTTGAATTTGAATATTTGTGTGCTTATCTCATTGGGAATGTGTTTCACTTGACGAAAAAAACAAGACCCAGAACTGAATTTTTTTTACCATTTGTTCTTTTTCCTCAATTAAATTTTACGAACTGAATCTAAAAATCAATAGAATGAGATTTTTCCTCTCATTTCGAAAGTGGACGCATTGAAGGATAAATAAGTCATTGGGTTGGGCATGGATTCGATAATGCCAACAAATGGCATTTAAAAGTTTTACGGTCGATAAATGGGTGACATAAGATCCAAAATATGTGTGGCTCTTTCATACCACGCAGCTTCCTACTGCCACTACTAGTACTACTTCAAACGGACGTCGAACTGCTTAGTGCTTTCAATGTTCGAAAGCAACCGATCCATCGTACGTGTTTGTGATTCCAATCGGTTTTATCAACCATAAACTGGGTGGCTGTTGTTTCCTACGTTCGTTCGTCAATAAATGACCGACCGAATGCATGTGATGTTCCACTGAAAGGAAAATTTTTTGTGTCTCTTGAGAACGGTTTGAAATTGCGAAACAATACAAATCGTTTGTACGCCAAACAGGACAGAGGACGAACAGAGAAAAGACAACACACACATACAACAAAACGCTAATTTGATTTATACTATTTTCTCATTGTTTCATCGAACACGAGCCATTCAACTTATTGCCGAGAAGTGGCCACTCGGTGAATAGGCACGTCCGATGGTGTGGCGAATGGCACAGAATATGCGAATGATTGTAAGATATTCAGCGAAGGAACGTATTTCTCTATTGTTTTATGGTATTGGGAAATGCCGATAGATAATACACACAAATCTATTCAATAAATAGGCTTTTGACGCATCGACGCTGGCTTCGTGTATCGAAAGAAAGAAGAAAGCATAAAATATGCATGGGATGGAGTCGAGTAATAATTTATACGTCCAGACCCCAAAAACCAAATTAGCCGACGGAATCGATTTTTTTCAGATCGGAGAAGGAAGAACAATAGCAAACATTTTGCCGGTCTAAACGAAAGGGACTGCATGGAAATTGATAAAAACGACCATTTTTGCTAATCAATAGCTTAACACAAACACTCACAACGGGAACATAGAAAATGGGCATTTGAGCAGCCTCTCATAGTTTGGTTCGGCTAACAGGAAATGAGCACACTCTATCAAACAAAAGTGTTGCCCTTTTTTTGGTTCTTTTGTCCCATTGTCATGCCACAATTACATGGACCCGCCAGCCCATTTGTGAATAATACGTTATACGCAATTCCCTCATGCGGATGTAAATTAAGTGTAGAATTTCTTGTGAATTACTCGGTATTGTTTTGTTACAATTTTGCCATTTTTGCATGTGTGTGTGTGCGATATGAATGTGAAAAATGCCCTGTGCTCAAAATCACAAATGAAAAACGCGAGCAGAGAGAAGAAAAAATGCGAGCGATTTCAGTTAATGTTCATTTTTACGTTTGTGTATACCGTTATAAA